CCCTCTGACCCTCCTCCCTCTCATGCTCTCTGTCTCTCATTCTCTCTCTCTCAAATAAATAAATAAAATCTTTAAAAAAAAAAAAAAGAAAAATTTGTCAAATAGTTTTATTATTGAGTTGTTACTCATCAAATAGTTTTATTGTTGAATTGTTATTTGTCAAATAGTTTTATTATTGAGTTTTATTATGGGATAGAAACATACCTGTTCTTCTTTTGTTCTTTTCACTGCTTTAGCAGTGAATTTCCTCCATATCCTCTTTCAGTGCATAGGAAATTTGCTCACCCATCCATCAGTAATAAAAGGAAACCCAAATGTGAAGGAGACAGGAATAATCAGAGAAAGAAAAGATAACAACTATGAAGTTTGTCCGAGGAAGTCCAGGATCTGTTCCAGGTTTAAAAGCCCATAAGTGAGCCTGAATGAAAGCTTTGTATATTTCAGAGGACAATTTCTAAACAGTGAGTTCCACTTGAGTTGACTTCAGCCAGCTCAGCTAACTGTTACCAACCTTTGTCAAGTGCTCATGAGGTCAGTGGGTTGGTCTTTTTCAGGTCAGCACTTATGGTTCCCTAGCCACAGTATGTGCCTTAAATTTCTCTCATACACATCTTGCCTCTCATCCCAAAAGTGATCAGAGAGGAAAAGGGAAGACTGCCCAGTCGATGGATAGAGAAAGACAATGTAAAATCACTAACTAGAGCTGGATCAGTGTACTTAATGAAGTGCTGACACCCATGGGAAACGTGACTGTAAACACATGCAGGACCACCTCACTTACCGAAGAGAAGGCATGCGGACCTGTAATAATAGTTAACATGTGTTCTCTCTGTGCCAGGTATTGGGCTGAGGGCTTTTAACGTACTTCTTGTTTGATCCTTAGGGCAATCTTTTGAGAGAGGTTCTATTATCATCTCCATTTTTACAGAAACGTGAATTTTACTTTGAGACGTGCTTTAGTGATTTATTACTGCATAATGAATTACCCCAACACTTAAAACGACGAACATTTGTTATCTCACAATTTCTGTGGGTCAGGAATTTGGCGGTGGCTTAGCTGGGAGGTTCTAGCTCCAGGTCTCTCATGCGGTCTTAATCAAGATGTCATCTGAAAGCTTGACCAGGGCTGGTGGATCCACATCCAAGCTCCGTCACGTAGCTGTTAGCTAGACATCTCAGTTCCCCACCGTGTGGGCCTTTCCATGGGATGGAAAGAAGGATCCAAGAGAGCAACCAAGTAGGAAGCCACAGAGCCTTTTGTGACCTAGCTTCAGAAGCGATACGCCATCACTTCTGCTGTATTCTATTGCTCACCCAAGCCAGCCCTGATACAATGTGAAAGGGCATGACGCAAGGGCAGAGTGTTAGCCACAGAGAGCTCTGGGGATCGTCATAGAAGCTGGCTACCCAAGAAGTTAAGGAACTTGCTCAAAGCTCCGCAGAGTTGAGATTCACACTCAGGCAATGTGACTCTAGAGAGCTGGTGCTCTTAAACTCCAAATCATTCTGCTGGTTTTGATCAAGTATAAATTCATGTGTCCATATAAGCATAAAGTTACAATTTCCCATGTATCTGCCTATATTATAATTTCATGGCTGCTAATGCCTGGATGCCAAGTGTCCTGAAGTAAAGTTCCTGCTGCTTTTGCCTCCATTCCTATATAAAGCTGTAGACAGGGTGCCTGGGTGGCTCAGTTGGTTAGGCGACTGCCTTCGGCTCAGGTCATGATCCTGGAGTCCCGGGATCGAGTCCCGCATCGGTCTCCCTGCTCCGCAGGGAGTCTGCTTCTCCCTCTGACCCTAACCCCTCTCATGTGCTCTCTCTCATATAAATAAATAAAATCTTAAAAAATAAAAAAATAGCTGTAGACAGGCAGTGACTTCCAGCTCAGGTCCAGATTTGCTCCTTGTGCTCAGTTACACCTACTTTGTTTCTAATGCATATTATATTATTTTATTTGAACTTCACAGAACAACCCATTAAGGCATTAATACCTTTACTTGTTACACTGAAGAAACTGAGGCATAGAAGTTTAGGGCTTTGTGAGTAAGTCCTAGAACTTGGAAATCCAAACCTTTTGACTTTTAGCCTTTCCTGAGTCTGCTGATTTCCATCCATAGCTGTTTTAAAGAAATGCTTTGGTGGGAATTTTTGTAAGTGAATGATTAATCATGGCTTTATGGTTTGATGCTAACTCTTTCATTGTTGTAAACCAATTATCTTGTAAATATTTTTACCTTTAGTCTTCATAGCTCCATTATGACCTCCAAAGGAGGGTGTGTCTCAATCTGAGAGTAAACTAAAACTACAAAATCAAAACTTCTGAGTTAGCTGTTTTATTTTTGCCAAGTACTGTATTTTCAACTTTATATTTTCTTCAAAATTCTAACTTCCTAGGAAGTTTTTTAAACTTAATGATAAACCATTGACTTTAGTTACCCATATACATTTATGTGCACATTTCTTCATTATTTCGTTCACTGGGGAAGCAAGTAGACTCATGAGCTTGGGACACATATTTCAGCATCCAAGGCCCAGGAAGCACGGTAATTCCAGGCAGAGCCAAAGCCTGCCGGAACTTTGTTCCTGACACCCTGAGGACTACGGTGGCTCACGTTGTATAATAAAGGAAAAGGGAGCAGTAGGGCTATCAGGTGGGGACTACCACATACCCCTTCCCTGACCTCGCACTGGGTCCTCAAAACCAGTTGGGTGGCCCCAGTGACCTTAACACCATCCCTGGGGGGCTGAGACCGCCTCTTCTTATTTTCCTCAGTTTTTTTTAAAGCCTGACCTGCTCAAGCTCAGGTCATGAGTTTCACGGATGGCTCTATTTCCCTGTTATTTTCCTTTTTTCTTTTATTTCAGGCAGGAAACTTGTACTATAAGACTTACAACCTCTTCAGAGCTGTGGTCCTGTGGTGGCCAGATTCAGGATTTGTTAGCTCACCAACACGTCTGGAACAGTCACTGCGTGTCAGGTGTTATTGTGGGTCTAGGGGAGCTGACCCTAAACAGTAGAGGTGAGGTGCCTGCTCCCATGGACCTTTACCATCCATGGGGCAGGCAAGGAAGAGGCAAGCACCTGAGTCATTTCAGACAGGAATAATGCTGGGACAAAATTAAGGGTGATAGAAAAGGCAGAGGGACACAGAAAGGAGTTTCTTTTTATTCCAAGCATGAATGTGGATGATCTCAATTCCATTTTTAAACTATGTCTCTGACTCCTTCGTACATAATAGAGGCAGGTGGGGGGTATTTGTGAGAGACGATGGCAGATTGGACAGGGTGATAGTATTGGAAATGTAAAAAAAAGAGAGATAAAACAGGATGTACTTTGGAGGTAAACAGTGTGTGGCAGAGAGCAAAGAAGTGAAAAGTGAGGGAAGGAGCACTGACGAGGATGACTCCTTGAACAGCCGTCTGCATAGTCCAAGTGGAGAACTTTCTTGTGCTCTCAGGGCTCTGTCTTGCCCACGAGAGCTAATCTACACCGCTTCCTCTGAACTAATTCCTTTGTTCTGCTGCATATGCTTCAGGGATCAAGAGGCAGGACTCAGGGAGGCCTTCTCCATTGTGCACCTAGCACATACCTGTCAAAAGATGGTAATTCCCCAGTTCAGCAAATATTTATGGAACATTTTCTACATGCCAGGCACTTTGTTACCCATGAGAGATATAAAAATGATATACACAGCCCTTATCCTCAAACAGTTCCCAATATTAAAGGAAACATAAACATTAACTATAGTAAAAAGGGCTAAGTGTCCTTCTAGTAAATGATCGAAGTGCTATGGAAGCACTAAAGGGCAATGATAAATGCTGTCCAGGGAAGTCTGTACAGAAACCAACCAGGCATAAAGGATTAATAATTAATGGATCCGAATACAATCCTTCCAATAGTGGAGCCACGAGACTGCCTCCCAGGCATGCAGTTCACCTGCCTGTTTCGTCCTCAACTATTACGGCTCCAGATTCTGTAGGAGGACTGTGTCAAACAGAATGTTTCCGGCTGCAAGTAACAGAGTACCTGCCCAAAAGTTGTTTAAACTATAAAGTGTTATCGGGCGCCTGGGTGGCTCCGTCAGTGTCTGCCTTCAGCTCAGGTCATGATCTCAGGGTCCTGGAATGGAGCCCCACCTCCAGCTGGCTCCCTGCTCAGTGGGGAGCCTGCTTCTCCCTCTCCATATGCCCCCCTGTCCCCCTAACTCATTCTGGCTCTCTCTCAAAATCTTTTTTTAAAAAATGTGAACTATAGAGTATTACTATTGTCCTATCATTAGCCTTTTACATCACTGGAAGCGTAGAAGTGAGGCAGTTCTAGAGTTTGTTGATGCAGTGATCCAACAACATCCTCAAGGGCCTGGCACCTTCCATCTGTTCAGCTGCATCCCCCCTCAGACTGTTGGCTTATGTTCTCAAGCTTGTCCCCTTGGGGTCGAGCATGGGTGCCTGAGAAGCACATCATTTGCTCACACAGCTATTTCGCAGGGCAGAAGATGATGCTGTTCCTCATTCATAATCTGTTCTCTCAGGGAGGGAAAGCTTTTCCAGAAGTCCCTCAGCCCAAGGCAGACTTTCCCTCACATCTCATTGGCCAGATTTGTGTCACTGGTCCATTCTAATCTAATCACGGGCATGGGGAATGAATGTTGGGTTCTGGATTTTTTTTTGGACTAGATTATCAAGACTCATCTTCCTGGGACGCGGAGGAAACTCCTTCCTTAACACATGGAAGGGGAAGGGAAATTACCTAAGTTGAATTGGGAATTCCAAAAGAAAGAAATGCGGGCGGCGGGGCGGGGGGGGGTGCTCTATGTAGGCATATCATATATTTTATCTTTGCTTTCTTTTCATTACACTGAAAGATTTAATTTGCTAACAAAAGAAAATAGATGTCAAGCCAGCTCTGATCTCTGAAGAACCTGATCATATAACTCTCCTTCCCCTCTTCTCACTTGCTTTCCTAACCACCTAAATTTATTGCACAGCATGGTGCTTCGATGATGTGCTTTTTATGAGAAAGGCATTTTGGGCCCAGTACCTGCTTTGGCTTGCCATCTAACATGATTAAGAATGGGGAGGAATTGAATTTGAAATATTTAAGATACAACTCTGAGACAGTAGAGCAGGTCAGAAACATCTGAGGGGAATTACTCAATTTTTTCATTAAAAGCCCATATAAATTGTCATATTTTATCCAATTAATAATGCGAAAAAGTAGTAGAAACAGTCAACAGAAAATAAAAAGACAACTTTTTGAAATACATGGTAAACATTAGACCTGCAAAAGTTGACCCAGGAAAGTAGGATTTGAAATAACTAATGGCTAGAAAAACAAAATACAATCAGTAAATAAAAGCAAACAAAATAACTTCATGGTGTCTGTAATTGATGACTCAAATCTTTTTTTTTTTTTTTAAGATTTTATTTATTTATTTGACAGAGAGAGACACAGCGAGAGAGGGAACACAAGCAGGGGGAGTGGGAGAGGGAGAAGCAGGCTTCCCGCGGAGCAGGGAGCCCCGTGCGGGGCTCGATCCCAGGACCCTGGGACCATGACCTGAGCCGAAGGCAGACGCTTAACGACTGAGCCACCCAGGCGCCCTGATGACTCAAATCTTTGTTGTTAAATCTCCAGGGGGGGAAATTAATCTATGCGGTAATGATTTTCTGAAGATGAAAGTGGATTGACTGTACTGAAAAGAAAATCTAGAACCCAGTATCAGTGGCGTTTTGTAAGCCTGGCAATCCCACACTCCCCACCCGCTTCCTTACTGACGCTGCTGGTAGACTCTGTCATGTTTCTCCCTTCCCCAAGCCCCCAGCATCCCCTCAGCTGACGAGCTGGCTTCCTATTTCAATGACAAAAGAGAGGCCCTCAGAAGAGACTATCCTCCATTCCCACCAGCCCCTCTGAGCACTCACCTGCATTTGCCCCTCCCAGGGCGCTAGGTGAACTTTTCTGGCACCTGCTGGAAGCCAGATCCTCCTGTGGGCGCTGATTCCACCCCCTTTGCTTTGCATAGAAATAAGGCTCCAGCTATTTGTCCTGCCCTCTGCATCATCATTTTCTCCTCTCTATCTAATTGTGCTGTAACCTCTCACGAAAGGAAAGGAAAAGAGGGGGAGGGGTGGAGAGGAAAATCCTCCCTGGATCCCACATCCCTGCCAACCTCCCAGTCCTTCTTCCTGCTCTCTTTACCACAAAACTCCTCAAAGAACTTTGTCTTATCTCTGTCTACAGTTCCTCTCCCCATTCTTTCTTAAACCCACTGGAATAAGGCTTACCCCCACCGGCCACTGAAACAGCTCAGTTCTCCTCAAGGTCCCTGACCTGTGTGTTACTAAATCCAAAGCCCAGTTCTCCATTTGAGTCTCACTGTCCTGTCAGTTGGTCTTTCTTCTTTACCACCTCCCCCTGGGTCTCTGCTCTTCTCCCGGTGTTCCTTCTACCTCACCACATGCCCCCTCCATTCTCCTTAAGAAGTTTCTCTTCATGTCTGACTTCTAACCTTGAAACCACAAGGGCTGCATTCTGGAACTTCTTCCTTCCTTCTTCCTTCATTCCACTGGGTGATTTCACACGCTCCCATGGCCTTAAACACTATCTATAACGTGACAGTGCCTCAGTCTTCAGACCAGACCTCTTTCCGAAATTCTACATGTATATTTGAGTAGGCATCTCCATTTGGATGTTACTGGCATCTCAAAGCAACATCTCCCCAAAGTCCTGCTAAACCTATTCCTCCCTTAGAGCACCTTGTCTCAGCATATAGCAATTCCATTTCTCTAGTCTCTGAGCCCAAGATCCATGCAGCTCTTCTCAACTCCACAGACTCGTTTATACTCAACATCTAGTTGGTCAGCAAAATCCTATCACTTCTACTTTCATGTTCTTTTAAAATTTGACCATATCTCACCACCTCCACTGCTACCCCCAGTCCTGGATGCCCATCACCTTTCACCTGAATTCTTGCAAAAAATCTCCCTATTTCTTTAACTTTTCTCATCACAACAGGCAAGGTTACCGAGGGAACCAGAATTCTAAAATGACTCCCCAGGGACGCCTGGGTGGTTCAGTTGATTAAGTGGTTAAGCATCTGACTTCAGCTCATCATGATCTCAGGGTCCTGGGATCAAGCCCCACACTGGACTTTACAGGGAGTCTGCTTGTCCCTCTCCCTCTGCCCCTCCCCCCGATCATGCTCTCTCTCTCTCTCTCTCTCTCTTTCTCTCTCTCAAATAAATAAAATCTTTAAAATAAAATAAAATGACTCCCCAAATTTCCTCCCTTCCCCCATGTACAATCTCTGAGGTAGTGAATATGATGGATTTAATTCTGGTGATTAAGTTGTGTTCTGTGCCACAACCCACTTCAAGAAAGGGAGATTACCCAGCTGGGCCTGACCTGATCACATGAGCCCTTTAAAAAAAAAAAAGAAAAAAAGCAGAGTTTTTCTGGCTGCTCACAGAAGGGGTAGTCAGAGATTTGAGGCACAAAAAAAGATTTTTCACACCGTTGCTGATTTGGCGGGGCCCACGTGACAAGGGATGTGAGAGGCCTCTCGGAAGTGAGAGTAGTCCTTGGCTGGTAGCCAGCAAGGGAACAGTGACATCACTCCTACAATCGTGCAAAACTGAATTCTGCCAACAACCTGCATGAGCTGGAAAGCAGCTTCCCCCCTACCATACCCTCCCCACAGCCACACCCACCCCCAGAGCCTCCGAATGAGGGTGAGGGCTCAGTGTGGCCAATGCCTGGATTTCTGAGACCCTGGGCAGGGACTCCAGCCATGCTAGGCTGGAATTCCCACCCATAGAACCCTGGGCTAATACAAAGTGCTGTATTAAACCACTGTGTTTGTGTCGTTTGTTAGGCAGCAACAGAAAACTGATACAGTGACCATTTTGAAACAGAGGTCTGATCACATTCTTCTCTGACTCCCCATCTTTCAGAGTAAACACCACAATCCTTACAATGACCCACAAGGCCCGAGTGACCCGAACCTCACTGCCCCTCTGAGATCCTCCCCTGCTCCCTCCTCATTATGGTTCACCCATCCTGCCTCACAGGTTCCATACCTGCACATCTTTTTGCCAGGATCCCTCTTCCCTGGGACTAACTGTTGCTTGTCCCCTTACCTCCTTCGGGTCTCTGCCAAAATACCACCTTATCCTTGGGGCCTCCCCTCAGCAAATGAATGAACACAGCACTCTCCCCAGACCTGACACTCCTTTCCCCCTTCCCGGCTTTATTTTCTCCACGGCACCCATAGCTACCTAACATACGGCTTTATGTACTTACTGTTCATTCCTGGGAGTGAAAGTTTTTGTAGGAAATGTAAGCTTCCTGGCAGTAAAAGTTTTTCCTGTTTTGTTCATGTTTTTCATGTTTTATGTCTCTAGAGCCCAAGGATATTTTTTGACTAACATTTTAATGTTGCTGTAATTCCGATTACAATACTTACATTCACGAATAGGGAGTCACGTCGCCCAGTGTAGAGCACATCCCTTTGTAGAGCACAGTGCTAGCAGCAGTCTGATGAAGACAAGTCATCCTTCCAGCTTACTTTATAACTTGTCGGGTTAGGACAAGACTGTCCAGATTAAATATTCAAATAATAATCTGAAAGTACTTGATTACTTGGCCAAACATATGGTACAGAAAATAAACCCTGAAGAAGACCAGGTCAGAGAAGTGGGTGTGGTGTAAGTAGTGAGGGGTAGACCCAGAAGCATGAGGAGGGACGGCGAGAAGATGGAGACCACAGATGTGGATTGGTGATTTGAGATGTTTGCTAATAAAGAGGGGCAGAGAAATGAGGAGTACGGTCAGGTAAATATTTTTTATGATAGCTACTCCCTGTGCATGCTTAAGGACAGGGCAGAAGTGAGCAGTGAAAAGACACTGGATGCTGAGGGAGGAGAGATGAAAACATGTCCCTTAGGATAAAGAAGACAAAGATTGGAGACACGGGTCGGGCCTGTTTCTTCCTCCAAGTTTTGAGGAAAGGG